TGAATTGGCATATAGTTGAAGACTTCAAATATTAACCTTCACATTTCAATTAATATTGTAGTCACATTCTTTCTTATTGCCTCTTGACCAGAAACATTTGAGAGGTCTTGTGCCAATTTTCTCTTCACTGAATAGGGATATGTTAAAATATTTTTGTTCTTTACTAATAAAAGCCTTAATTAATATAATTTGACTCTTAGAAGCTTTGAAAGTCTGAAACAAGCCAGAGGAAATTAATGATCAGATCTTATATTAGGAAAGTTGTCTTGAATTTTTCTGAGCTGAGTCCCAGGCAGCCTCCTTTAAGAATAATCTTCTGGTCAAAGCATTGGGCTGGGACTCAGAAGGCTTGGGTTCAATTCCTGGCTGTGTTACAAACTCAGTACGTGCCCTTGAACAAGTTACTTAATTTCTCTTCAGCTCAGCTCAGCTCCCCACCTGTGAAACGGGGATGATAATTTCTCTCCCATGTCCTTTGCCTATTTAGACTGAATGCTTATCAGGCCAGGAACTGTCTCTTGCCATGTGTATGTGGAGTGTCAAGGACAATGAGGCCCTGATCTCAATCAGAACCTCTTAGTTCTATTGTACTATAAATTACAATTAATAATCATCATCAAACAGTGTTATTCTGCCCATACTGTGGATTTGACAGTAGGAAGTGCTAACTGGTGCAACTAAGACCACACTCTGTGAGACATCAAGAGCCTGATTTTGATACCTTTACACATGTTGAGTAGTTCCTTACTCCGCCATAGTCGAAATTGAAATTAAGAGGATCAGAATCTCATGTCAATTTACCTTTCCATAAAGTCTACACTTTATTGTGCACTTCGGTGAAGTTAGTATGTTAGTCTTCCAGCCATTTTCTGTACAAAAGATTTATTCAAGACTAGCGTTTTAATACTATGTTTTAATATATATAAGTAATTCTGATTCAGTATACACACTAATGCTGATTTCAGTTACTGTCTATGCAACACTAAGCAAGCCAGATATTCTCTCTGCATTAGAGGTTTCCCATTTGTAAAACTGATATAAAATTACCTCATTTGCAAGGAAGTTCAGGAGTAATTTTTATTTTATTTTATTTCCCCATTGTTGTCTTGGGGGAAAAACAGTCAGTTTACCCAGTTATGTCTTATTTAAAACAAAAGGCTAGGCACAAATGAAGTATTATCGAGGGTCTGATCCAAACCCTATGGAAGTCACTGGAAAGACTTCAGTTGGCATTGTATCAGGCCTCAATTACACAACAGAGACTGTCTGCCTCAATATCCAGATTAGTGTCTTTAATGGCCCTAATTTTGTTCTGAGTTTTCAGTGGGAACTGAAAAATTATGTAGGTAGAAAAGAAGTTGTTCTTAGATCAGTATTTCCAGTGCTTTGGAATGAAATTGTCTGAACAGGTAACAGAATAATTTAGGGCCAAATCCTCAGCAGGTGTAAATCAGCAATCATCCTCTGGAGACTTGCAAAACATAGTGTATGCATTGGAGTGGCAGCAATTTTGATCAGCTGAGAATCTGGTCCTTTGTGAACTGAGTTTTAAAGATAACTAAACCGTTGTTCTTTTCTAGATGAGACTGTAAATTAATTTGTCAGCCAGTGTTGCCGATTGAAGTTAAGTTGGGGTGAGTGTGAGGACCTAGAGATAGGTATTGATTGCAAAAATATACGGAAGGCTGAGAAGGACAGGTAGGAACAGCTTATTTTGAAGAAATTGGAAAAAGAGTGGCTTCAAGTCCCCAATGCACTTAAACATATGCCTTGCTTGAAGCACATGTGTACTTCCATTGACTTCAATGGACTACTTGCATGCTTAAACTTAGGCATATGCTTAAGTACCTTGCTGAGTCAGGCCCCTAATGATGAATTAAGACAGTACTTTGGAAGTAAGTTATCAATACACACACTATTGCAGCCTAAATGACCTAACCAGAGATTTAATGAAAGACAATCTATGATATTTCCACACCCCGATCATTATTATAATCTGAGTTAAAATCTCATTCTTTTTCTCACATTCTTCCCAACATAAGTGTAATGTGCACACATTTTGGGGAGTGTCTTGAAATAAGTGCCTTCTGGTTCATAACAAAATCAAAACATCCTTCATATTCCTTTTCACAATAATCCACTGTTTTATGTGTTATGACGCATACCCACAGAATAAAGTAATAATAAGGAAAGATGTGTTCAGAATTTTAACTGGGGCAGCCTAAAAAGGGTATAGCGTTTCTCTGGCTTGTGCATCGTGGCATGGAAAAAAAGCAGCCTTAAGATTTATATTTAGAAAAATAGGTTTAATTAGTGTATTATTCCCTTCTTTAAATAGAAGAAATACAACCATAAGCAAAAATTAAAGTGAAAAGATGTCTTTTTGTTTGCATTAAATAGTGAAAAGTAATTTTCTGGGACATGCTTTACCCTACTGATCTTGATTTCTTTCCCCTTTAATTTGCCATCTTTTGGTCTATAACACTATATAGGCTTACAGCTTGGGGTCTTTGTCCTCAGTGACACAGGCCTGATACAAAGTCTACTGAAGTCTGTGGAATGACTCCTACTGACTTCCATGGTCTTTGGTCTGTGGCTGATATGAGTAAATGTTTCCTACCTACACTAAGGCAAGCAAACCTACTGAGCCAAAGTTCAATCTCATCATTCCATACAACCACACCGAAATCAACTGTGAATAAAGAATTTGCTCTGCCTTGTTTAGAATACTAAAAGTGCATGGGAATTTGTGTTCCAGTTATGTAACTACTTTTCTGAATAACCCATATCAACCCATTTCTTTTGTATTATACTTACAGTACATGATGTACTAGAGGAAGCACATAATTATTTCTTGCTTTACATTACTCCAGTAGCACACACTGGAGAAAAAAACCATAAAGACTAACATCTGTAACCAAAGCATCGCTTTTATTGCATTTAATAATGGCTCTTAACCTCTACCTTTACAACAGCTTCTAGAGTGCCTGAAATCTTTAATATCTGTAGCAGCCAGAACCCTTCATTTTACCTTGACCTGCATGCACCTGTTCAATTGGAGGGAAATGCAAAACAAAACAAATTACTTTGATTCTTGGAAAACCAAAAACCACATTCTTCCCATAACAGCAGTTCTTCTTTTTCTCCACTGTCTTTCTTCTTTCCTTGCTATCCCCACTATGACTAGAAGGTTTTTTGTTGTTGTTGTTTTTAATCTTGTGTCCTTCATCTAATGTAGATTATAAACTTTTTGAGGCAAGGACCTGTCTTCGCACATGCTAGTAAGTAAAGCGCTATCCACAGCTAAATAAACAAATTAATTAAATATTGTCATCAGAGTTTGAGAAACTGAGAATTAGCTGATTATTACTAACAGCTGATTCAAATATGATAAAACAAGGTATGCACCTCTGTACAACACACCTATATACTTAGTTGCCTGAAAATAGGATTGTTCCATTTAACAAAATTTGGAGGGTACTCCTGATTGGTCTCTTAGAACTGAACATAGTATATGTCTCTAGTTTTCTACTTTAAGGGCCAGTTTGGTTTTGAGTAGTACCTTAATCTGTGAGTAGTCCCATTGTAACTCAGCATGAGCAAGGGTGACAGGATCTTGCATAGATTTTTGACTCCCCTACTTCGACTTGCTAACTCATCTTTTCAGGGGTCCGTTTTCCTTGGTTCTGGATGAATCAATAGATGAAGGAAAATTCTGAGAATTATTTTTCTAATGCTCCAGCAGTTTGCCAAGTCATAATTAACAAACACCTAATTGCTTTAATTGTTGTTCTTTGCTACTTTTGATCAATGCAGCGGGTGTCAATTTAGTGGGTCTAGTGAAGACCCATTAAATCGATGACAGAGCGCTCTCTGGTCAACCCCAGTACTCCATCTCTCTGAGAAGAGTAAGGTAAGTCGACCAGAGAGCGTCTCCCATCAATACAGCACAGTGAAGACATCGCGGTAAGTCGACCTAAGCTACGTCGACTCCAGCTGCCTTATTCAAGTAGCTGGAGTAACATAACTTAGGTTGACTGACTCCGGCAGTGAAGACAAGCCCTGAGGAGCAGTAGATCAGATATATTTCTCTTCTGTTCATTGTCAAGGGGGTTCATTCCAAATTCCTTATAGAACTGCTACAGAGATCACACCACACTACTGCCTTGGCCTGAATTACCAGTCTCAAAGTCTGCAGATAACTGTACAACAAATTTATCTGCTCGTCCAGTGTTTCAGTCTTATGAACAGGATAGGGGTTTTCTGTTTAAAAAGACATCGATAGAAAATTTTGACCATCTCTGTAGCTAATTTTGCTCTCAAATACACAGATATGGAAGTCAGTGAGCTGCACCTATGGAATAAGACAAAATTGTATCCTCAAAAGAGTATATTTTAAAGAAGAGTTTTTAAGAGCTTAATTGAACAGGTCCTTACACATGGAACTCCCATTGAAGTGAGTGGGAGTTTTGCAGGTCTGGGTCTAATGAAACTTTACTCTGTGTATTATTTGCAAGTTTCACTTTCGGAGTAAAGGTTCTCATCAAAATTCTGTAATATCTTGGAAAGTCTTATTTTGCATTGCACTGACTTCTGCTGCCTAAAATATGCACACTACATCTCCCTGCGGACAACACAGTGCTCAAGAAGGATTATGTGAGGTAATTTAATAAAATGCTCAAAAATGATCATTCACACCCCAAAACAAGTGTATTTAGATGTCTTGTAAATAGTAACCCTATGTATTGGACTCAGAGTACTGAGAGTATGGATGAGTGTTCTTCCCACTTGTCTTTATACTATTTAAATATCAAATACATCAAGGTGTAGATATAACATACATCAATGCAGCTATTATAAGGTATTGGATGCAATGCTGGAATTTAAAATGTTATCACACTGTTTTAATTAATTAGATATCCAAGTAGCGCTGTCTGAAAATGGCATCTGATTGATGACATGGAGAAAAATGATGTGTATCTTCTTTTCAATTTGCTTAGGTACGTGTATTCACATTTTCTGTTGGTCAACATAATTATGACAAAGGACCCATACAATGGATGGCCTGCCAAAATAAAGGTACAGTGTGTATATCTCTGAGCTTATACCTATATAAAGCTTTGATTATCCCCCAAAATATAAACCATTCTGCAGGTGTTACACAGGACTACAGATTTAAAAACCTTAGCCTGATTTACAAATTCATTTTGATGTTTTGAATCAGGGCTCTAAATAGTGATTTTTATTTTCTCTTTTAGTAGACCATTGGGTTCTGTCAAATTGTCCTCTCAAGGAACTCAGTTTTAAGACTGAAAAGTAGAGTCAATTGCTCATACACTCCATTTAGAAGTCTTTTGCTATTCACAGAACTAAATGAATATTTCTCGTTCAGATCTACAGACCAAGGCATAGGTTCACAAAAGGCCTTAGGCAGCTACCAGCAACTCCTTTCCTCTCCTCCAAATGGAGAGGCTGGGACCTCCTGCCACATCGTGAAGTGCTAGGTGCTGATAAGCGGGTCAGCATGGAGGGAACAGGAATACTGTATTGGGGACAGGGCAGGGGAATGGGGGGCTGAAGCCACTGGGAATGGGGGAGAAGTTGGAGCCAGGTAGCAGTTAAAATTTCTGCCAATTACATCAATATAAATGTAGTTTCTGTCTCAATGAGATCTTTTAGGGAAAGTTTTAACCTTTAATTCCACAGACAGGAATTTGATTATCTGGAATTGAAACATCTCTACCAGATTTGATGATTCTGCTAACAACTAGCTAGACGTTCTGCCACATTTTCTGTGTGTCTTTGCTTGTTTAGAGGCTCAACTTGAAAAAAATATCCCCAGGCAATCAGAATAGATTGAGATAACTGTACAAGTTTTTACCTCCAACTCAGTTTACCACAGTTGAAGTCTGAATAAATTCATGTAGTATGCTACCAATTGCTACAATCAGTACCAATCTCATTTTGTTGTCTATTATTCAGCTCAATTCTTTAAATCTGTTGAAGGAAGCTCTGACCTGCACACATTCAGTAACCACTTTAATACCTATTGGTAATTAACACACCTCAGATCTGGATAAATGAGGGTGAGACTTTCCCCAAAAAACATGACCACAAAAATCTCAAAATATTTTGTTTAAAAATTATTATTTGAAATTAAACATTTTGCTTTAATATACTGACATCAAAATTTCTGATTATCAACATGTTCACTATATCAAATGCTGATTTGAAACAAATTGTTTCATTTCAAACATTTTTGTAAAAATCAGGAAATTTTATTGAAACTTGATATTTTGTCAGGAAAATGTTATGATCAACAATTTTTACTTTTCTCTTATAATAGTGTATCATAAATCGTATATATTTTGGAAAGTTCTTGTTTTGGTGGAAGATGAGAAGCTGATATTGAGGACAGATTAGAAAATTAAGCAAAGATGTTTCCAAGAGAAGAGCTTGTCAACATTTGTTGTCCAATGAAATGAACAAAAATTTCAATCTGAAATATCTCATAGTGTTTCCTTTTATTTCCACACAAATAAATCAAAATGAATTAAGAAATAAAGCAAAACAAAAAATTCATTTCTAAAAAAGGAGTGAGATTTTTGTTTTGTTTTTGTTTTTTAAGTTGGGGGGGAGGGTATTTTCTTTCACCCTTTTCCCTAGAAAAATGATGGAAAAAAGTTTTGTTGCTTTTGAGAGAGAGAGAGAGAGAGAGAGAAAGAAGAGTAAGATATCCATCCACTATTTTGAACAAAAAAAAACATTTTTTTAAGATTTGATCGAAACTTTATCAGCCAATGATTTTTATATGACAATCCATATTTTTGCTGAAAATATTATTGTGGTCAAAACCCATCATTTTGTCCAAAAACATTTATTTTTAATTATCTTACCACCATAGACAATCCTAAGTGCTAATTGAAAGAAAGATCTTGTAGATACCAAGCTGATGCATTATAAATCACATTATGAGATAGTAAGGAGATCATATAATAGTATGAATTTCTAGTTCCAAACTTACAGTAGACTATATGTGGTACATTACACAGTCAAGAACTACTGGGATAAACTGATCTCAGAATCAGAAATAAGGTTACTTTCTGCATGGTGAGAGAGCTATTAATCTTTACACCCTTGAACTTTTAGACTCCCTTATCCTTTGCCTCCCCCAAATACTTTGTTATTTTTATGTTGCTGGCAATTTGTTTATCATCCGACTGTCTCCTACTCTCCCACTTAAGTAAAAATCTCACCCAACTTTTCTCTTGTTGTATGCCAGTTTAGGTCCAAATGCTGAGAGATAATGGGTACACTTATTATGTGTAATATCATAGCTCCAAGTGCCCTAATTATGCTCCATTGTGCTAAGTGCTTTACAAACACAGAACAAAAAGTCCCCACCCAAGGAGCTTACAATCTAAGTACAAGATGAGACAACAGATGTATATAGAGAAACTGGTGGGACAGTACAATGAAATAATGACAGGCTGTGGTCTTGGCACACTAGTGGCCTCACCATTTTCAAGTTTTTTGTAGGTATCATGGCCAACAAGAACTTGAGGGATTTGAAGGAGAGTGAATTAGTTTTGCAGATGTTTAAGGGGAATTTGTCCCAAGCAGGAGGGTACAGAGTGGGAGCAGGAATGAAGATGCTTGTTTAAAAATGTAAACAGTGGATGATAGAGGCTGGCATCCTGGGCCTATCAGAGGCTGGAGTTGACATTTTGATAGTAAGTTAGAGATGATAGACAGTTGAGGACAGGTTGTAAAGGGTCTTGAAAATGAAAACAAGGAAGCTATTATTTGATGTAGAAGAGAAAGTGGAGACATTCAAAAAGAGTGGTGACAGGGTAGCAGAAGGATTTTTACAGCATCATTCTGAGTGAATATGAGCAGGGCAAGATTACATTTATTAAGGCCTGAAAAAAGGATATTGCAGTAATTGAAATATGAGACAAATGAGAGATTTAGTTGGATAGATGAATAGGAGATGCCGTAGTTTAGAGAGCTTATTCGGAAAGAAACTGGAAGTTTTACAGAGAGCTTGTATGTTAGGACCTAAAGAGAGGTCCAATTGGAAATGATACCCATAATACAGGCTTGAGTTATATGCAGGCTGATTCTGTGGTCCATAATGATTGAGAAAGGAGGCAGTTGGGAGGGTTTGTGTGGGATGATTAGGAGCTCTCTTTTAGCCATGTTGAGCTTGAGCTGATAGTTAGATATCCACAGGGAGCTGTCAGACAGGTGGAGATTTTAGTTTGGATATAAAGAGTCAGCTCTGGAGGAGAGAGAGAGATAGGTAGATCTGGGAGTCAGGCAGATAAAGCTGATAGTTTGTTGTGGTTTTGGAGGAGATTACCGAGAGATAAGATGCAGAGGAATCCATTATATTTGACTTTAGTGAATAGTGTGCTCGCTCTGCATCCGTCAGAATTTGACCTATCATGTGCAGATAAAACTTCTCAAGAGCAGTGGGTATGGCCAATGGCAGAGGATGTATGATCAGTAAAAGGAAAAGACGATTAAGAGATTTTTTCCCCACTGCTGACTTTTAGAGAGATTGGCTGCACTTAGTAATAATAGCAAAAGAATATCAAATGTTCCCCTGGTTTCCCACTCAATTACCTTTTTATGACAATGAATGACCAGTAGATCAATATAACATAATTATATGTTATTTTTATAGGAGATCTAGGTGTATGTTTACCTCTTGGGGTAGGTGTATGTGTAAAACCCTCTGCTTATTATAGTGTGTATGTCTCTACATTATGACAGTCTAATTCCTTTTGCTGTTCATTTAGTATTGACCACCCAGCTTAAGGTGTTGAGTGACCATGTTATAGCTCTATTCAGTTTATAATGTGGTTTATCAAATTGCACATGCAAAGAAACAGGCAGAGGTTTTATTTAGTTATTTTTAAATCAGATTGTTAGGAATAATCAAGTGGTGAACAGTGTTAGACCATGTAACTTTAACTTTATTACTGTTACCTTTCTCCACCATCCCCTGTCCTTCCTATTACTTGTGATTGATAGTCTGAGGTCTGCAGGGATTGTGACTTCTTATAGCTGTACAGTGGGCCCTCGAGCGTGATTGGGGCCTTTGGCAATGTTATAATGCAAATAAATAACAACAATGCAAATGATAAATGAATGGATGCCACTTCTATTTTGTGAGTGGCTACGTCAATGGATGTTTTCATTCTTATCACACAATAAGCAATGTTTTTATGCTGTGGATGAGTTCACTTCATTGTGAAGGCAAACTAGATTTTAATTGGATTTAAACATGTATCCAGTGTATAATTTGTATTGTTGTCACTGCCTTTTAATATACCTCTTTAATATGTTTTTTCTTCAAAATAGCTGTGAGTGCAGGGGGGAAATGTATGAAAATTCCATTTCTTCCTCTGGGGAAAAAACAAAGGTTAGAAAGCAGCTTGTCACTGCCCAGGAATAACTAGCATGGAGCACATATGGTGATGGCACAACTTACTTGTCTGTTCATTGCTCTGAAATCTAATTAAATAATTATGGCTTAGTAGTTCTTTTGTGCAAATGCTTTTAAGAGACTTTCCATAATTATTGGAAGTAAAAGAGAAATGGAAATAGAATGTTTTCTTTCAAGTGATCTCAGATGAAGAGCATGGCATTATAATGTAGCAGCATGTTATTGTTTCCATTATGTATTTTAGGTTACTATTATGAAATTCCTTCCATTGGAGCGATAAGAATAAACACACAGGTACGTCTGTAGTGCTTGCAAACTACAAGTACAGTCATAAGTCAAAGAAATGCTGTAGTGATAGTAAACAATTTACAAGAATTACTTTTGGTTTGCCTTATAAGTAAAATGAAATACATCTTTTTTAGGTATAGTTGCAGAGTGAAACAAATTTGAAGGTGTCCACTCATAAACCAATACAGAACATTTGCCCCTCATCAGATCCCCATCTCAGCTCAAGGAATGCAAAAGCCAGCTCTAAGTTCTAATGCTATTGGTTCCAATAGGTGGTATCCTGAGCCAAGACCCTTCAATGGAAGAAAGACATACATAGTTGCTAACCTGATGTTTCAACCCCAGTATTTGCAACCCTAGTGTTTACAGTTCCAGCCATAAATCCTTATGAACTGGCTCTGTCTGTTGTTAGAACCATGTCAATCAATTGATTCACATCCACAGTTTCTTTAGTGTTAAAAAGGTTTAGAGCTTTTGGTTCTCAAACTTTATGTTGGAAAAATGTGCGGGATTTGTCTTGTTCCACTCCCCCCATCCTTTTTGTGTGTGTTGTAGCTATGAAAGAAGACAGCTTAGTGGCTCCAAATGCAGTTAAACTGTGCATGCACAGGCACATGACTGCTATAGCCTTAACAGAACATTGTGGAGACTTACTTACAGATGTTACTGTGAGCAGTCAAGTCCTGAATAAGGTGCCTAAATACTTTCTTGCCCTCTTCACACAGTTCCCCTAAGTCCCCTCAAACTTAAGAGGCTTCAGTCTCAGGCAGTTCAGGATTGAGAGCACCACCTACGTGTCAAAACTCTCAGCACCATCTGCATTGCCCAGTCTTTTCAAAATGGACCACAAAACTGCACCTGGAGGTCTTGGTGTCAGTTTCACTGCAGTGTCAAAGTTTTGATGCGCTTGGTGCTTCAGGAAACTAGTCCAGTGCTCAGCTCCACTCTTCTTGAAACAATACTCAGCATCACCTATGCATAGGAGCCTAACCAGGCCTGCATCAAAAGTAACGCACTCAGTTAATTATCTGCAGATGATTTCCCCCTGGTTTTCTAGTAGCATCCAGTGAAGACTACTGATGACTCCAGGAGCTACAATAGACAACAGTGGGAAATATCAACCAATCTGACCATTCATTCATGTTTCCCGCATTTCATCCATACAAACTCTAGACACCAGTAGGTGTCCTTGAATCCTTGGCTCCACAGGACCACCGATTGTGTTTGAGATGAGGTCCACATTCTACTCCTCCAGTGCATTTGGTGCAGTTGTCAGCACTAATCCATCATATCCCATGGGGTATCAGACCACTTAATCCTGCCTCCCCTGTACTGACATTAGCATATATGAATAAGTATGGATGAAGCCATTCGAGAGTGGTGCTTGGACACAGAGAATTCAAGGGACCATTCTGAGTCTTGCCTTTTAGGCTTGCATCCATGCTACATGTGTTTACAAAGTGCTTAGAAATCATAATCCCAAACTCACACAGAATGGGGGTACATGTTTTCTTCTATGTGGACAATTATTTAATCAAAGACAAAAATTGGAAGAGATTCAAGCACCAGTCCCTGGAACTGTCAGGTCACCGGAGACACTAGGGTTCAAAATAAAGTATCTAGAGTCCCAGCTTTTTTCTTCAGAAGCTATTGGAATACATGGGTGCCCTGCTAGACTTGAAAAGTTCTACCTCAGGTTTGTATTTTGGATATTGTAGAATTGATGGGAAATATTTTCCAGAGCCAGCTGGAACCAGTAAAGACCATGCTGTAGATATTGGGTCTCAGGGTGTCCACAGTATTTATAATTGATATACCACACAACTTCAGTGGACCCTGAAATGCTAGTGGTGTCAAGCTACACAAAGACTTTCACATTACTCCTGGATGATGGATGGACTCCAAGCCATGCTCACTTGGGGCAGTTCAGTGAATGTCTGTAATTAGGAAAGGATTTGCAAATTCCTTCCTTCAAATTGTATTAGACAGATAGGATTAGGAAGATCACAGAAGGGGGGGTGGGGGTTACATTAAAACCACTTGGCCTGTCCAAGAAGATCATTTGCATGTAAGTTATATGGCTATAAAGACACCCCTGAATACACCGAGGACTTTCAGAGACCTGGTCTCTCAAAAGATGGTCCTGTTTCAAATTGACAATCAGGCTGCCACATTTTACATCAACCTAACAAAGAAAGTCTAGGACCAAATCTCCTATGTCAGGAAGCCCTGCAGGCTTGAACTGTAGACAGTGCCTTACAAGACATTCCCAATGGTCACTTACTAGGCTGGGCAGGAAAATTATTGGTAGTGTTCCATAGTGAACCCACATAAAGCAGGCCTGGATCTACAAATAGTATTTCTGTCTAATTTATCTATCAGAAGTAGTTCCAATACACCATCTCCCATGGTTTCTGAGTGGACACAGTGGATTGGATTTCTCTCAGAGTTCTGTTTGCAGCATCTCTGAACAACAAACAGCTGGTTTTCTGCACAGTACAATAGGAAGCACTGAAATGTCTACTACATCCATTAGTGAGGGAAGCTCATGTATATCTTTCCTTCACTATCTCATGTATATCTTTCTTCCATTTCCTGTGTTAGCAAATTTCCAGGGCCTAGGAGAAAAGACAAAAGTGGCTCCTTTTGCCTGTTCCCTCACAAACTGCTGGAGTGTCATCTTCATCTGTATTGTTATTGTTCACATTGTTAGATTTCAAATGAGAAGAAAGTCAATTATCATTACTGTTTTTGATTATTTTAGAGGCAGCACTGGGTCTTTTCAGTCGTGGTGATCTGTTCTGACATGTAACTTTGGAGAAGGTGCTTATTGGTAATTGCTCTCTGATGATATACATTGGGGGTCGGCAACCTCTGGCATGCGGCTCGCGAGGGTAAGCACCCTGACGGGCCGGGTCAGTTTGTTTACCTGCCGCGTCCGGAGGGTTCGGCCGATCGTGGCTCCCACTGGCTGCAGTTCACTGCTCCAGGCCAATGGGGATGGTGGGAAGCCCCGGCCAGCACATCCCTCAGACCGTGCCGCTTCCCGCAGCCCCCATTGGCCTGAAGTGGCGAACCGCGGCTAGTGGGAGCCGCAATCGGCCAAACCTGCGGACGCGGCAGGTAAACAAACTGGCCCAGCCCGCTAGAGTGCTTACTCTGGCGAACTGTGTGCCAGAGGTTGCTGACCCCTGATATGCATCATAACAAATAACACACCCCATTGTTCCCTCATGCACTTTTGAGGGTTCTGAAATGTTGTCGTCTTATTACTATTACACCTAAAATTCATTTTTATAGATATATGTTCCAGTGGAGCTGCTGACTCAGAATACCCCTTGTTGAATCTAATGTGATATGTAGCACAAACCCAAGTGTGATCTGCTTTGATGTATAACTTCAGAGAGCAATGAATATAAGTTTTTTTTCTATTCTATTGCTGGTGTTGAAATCATGCCCTTATACTAACTTCACTTTATTTTTTGTCATATGTTTTGGTTTTTTCTTGGAACTATTTTTGAATGTTGATTTGATAATGTCTTGCCTCTGATGGGCTTCTTGCTCCTTTTAACAGGAATATTTGGACGTTTTGGGGAGACCAATGGTTTTAGCTGGAGATAAAGCAAAACAAGTCCAGTGGACCAATGTGTATTTGGATGCACTGGTATGAGCTATATTTATGTAGTAAAAAGAAAAATATCCTTTTAGTATAGAGCATTTTGAAGTGTACATGCTTATAAGTTGAATATATCCATTGCTTTTAAATCCTAAGAACCTTACAGTATTCAGATGAAATGCATAACTTAAGTCAACACTTTTATGAACTGCATTGTGGATAAAGCAGAGTATTTTGTATATATGGAAAAACATTTATAAAATGAAGAGTTCTCCCATTTCTGTCCACCACCTACAAAAGACTCAAACTCCTCCATCCCAAAATGTAACATTTCTGAGTTGTCATAAAGCAGCTCTCTGAACTGCTATTATACCACTGGACATTTTCTGTCCTTGCTATCTTAGCTGGACATTTTCTGCCCTTGCTATCTTTTTTCATTTTCGTCTAGTAGATAGACATGGATAGACATGTGATTTATTCCAGAAATACCTCCCACACACAGATCTCTAAATGCAGCTCACGGCTGACATAAAACAAACAAATGAAAAATATTGTTTTCCAAGTATGAGCCTCTGCACAGCAGAGACCATCACTTGTGCTAAATTGTCTGGAGACCTTGTTCTGTGAAAAAAATGCACAGTTGGGAAAATAAACTGAAAAGCAGCCAACTCATTTTCACATGGCATGTGAACAGACTTTGGACTCCGGAGGTACATGGTTATTGCAATTGCCCACTGTCTCAGCCAACTGCTTGTTTAGTTGACTATTGTATGTGATGGAGGAAACAACCAAAAGGGCATAATCCAGCACTTTCCACGCTGCTAGTTTATCATTTGGGTCTTTTAAAACAAACATATGCAGGAAACTATGAAAAGCTAAGTATTATTAGCAGCAGTCAGGACTTCTGAAGTAGATAAACTTGCTGTACATACTTCTAATCATGCAGAAATTACTGTAAAATGATCATCTGAAATCACATATTTATCCAAGTTCACATGGTCATCTAGAGTCATGTCAAAATCCACTTCTTCCTGCCTGCATTTCCTTAAAATATCTAATTTTTTATCAGTCCATCATGGAACAGTGCGTGACATAGAGGAAACGACGTTGTGTCATTGCAGTTTTAATAGCCAGAAGTTCATTGACCACATTCTCTTGGTTGCTGTCGAGGTACTTACTGGAAATGTGAAGGATGTTATGAGGAAAGTTCATATGTTCTGTACATATCCTGTTCTAAAGTCAAAGCTAAATTTGTAACATGGGTGTCAGAGGAGATCTGGTTAATTAAACAAAAAGAACAGGGATAGCTGCAAATAACCATTACATTGGTTTATGTTTTCAGTGGGTTACAAAAAGCTTTCATTCTAAGCCTTTACTCAATGTCTTTACTCACATATGTAAACAAGCAAACATTCTCTGTATAAATATACTTAAGTAAAGATGGACCCAAGTTGCAAAATTCGGACCAAGGCTAGTGTCTGCGGCTCAGTGCTTAGAAAATAAAGTGCCAAATATCTAACCACACTGGTAACTCCCAACCCACTGATCTGGTAAGTAAGCAAGCTGCCCTCTGTAGGAATCACGATCTAACATGGCAGAAAACTATGAGTTAGGGAATCCCCTTAACGCCTCCTGAAAATCCCCACAGAGTTGAATAAAGTATGGACATGCTGGGTTGAGGACGTAGACCCAGATCTCAAGCCTTCTAATAGTTTGAGTCTGTTCTAGTGGAGGGTCTTAGTTCAGCCCATTGCAGAGGGTCTCCGTTCTTGAAAGCTGGATCTGGTTCAGGATCAGATTTTGAAACCCCACTCCCAGCGTTTAGGGATGTTCACATTTAGGGGTCTAGTTCAGGCCCATCTCTAATAATAAGGGCACTTGTTATATATGTTTATCACAATATAGCTCCCGGCAGTGGCCTCTATCTCCTCTTACCCCTATCATTTAACATCCATCATTTGGCATCCATCAAGGGGCTGTTCTGGGTTCCATCCTCTCCTCCCTCTAGAGTTTATACTCTCTGTCTGTTTATGACTTCATCCACTCTGAAGGTTTCATATACTGCACCATCTTTATATAGGTAATTCCCAAATTGACCTCTCTAGTCCCTGACTTTTCTCCTTCTGCTTGGTTTTGTGTGTGTAAATGGAGTGTCTCCAAATAGAATCCCGTATCTTTCCACCAGATCCTTCTCCACCACATCCCTTCTCTAGATTCCCTGACAGTTCCACTGTCTTTCCCTTCTCCTGGGCTCACTCCCGCAGTGTGATTTCTATTCCTGCTTTCCCCACATCTAGTCTCCTGCTAAGACTGTCACTGTCACTTCTCCTTCTTTAATATGGCTTAGCTCTGTCTGTCAGTGCCAAGGTATCCAGACTACTAAAATACTTGTCATTTATCCCTTTGACCATTATTATATTTTCCTGTCTGATCTCCTCACATCACTATCCATCCCCACCAATCTGTCCAAAAGTAAGCTGAGGTAAAGAATGGATCAGGGTGAGCACCTGGGGGAAGGACAACTGGCAAAGGGTTTTGGGTGAGCACATCTGAGGAGGAGTGGTTTGGGCTGAACGCAGCTGGGGAACAGTTAGGGTATAATTTTCTATTACTTCTCTCAGACCATATCATCTCTTGTTCTTGAATCTCCACACAGCATTGTCACATTACTCATCCTAGTCAGGCTCCTTATCCTGAGCCTTGTTACACTACATATTCTGGTACCCACCTTGACCTCAGCTCTCTTTTCCTCCAACTCCCTGTTTTGCTCAGTACCTATCGCATTCCTTTCCTCTTCTGCTCCCTTAATTTTTTACTACTCTACTTTGCTCCATCTTCTGCTCCACTAAATATCCACTCCCACCTCCTTGAAATGCCTCTTTAAAACACATTTCTTCCAGGGATCGCTCTTACCTTCCTCTCCCCCCGATAATCTCTCCATACCCTTCTGTACTCTTATTCTGTGTCTTATCTTGTCATAGTTTGTCTTCTCTTTGCCCTAGAAAACTGGCTTTTACCTAATAAATTCTTCTTAGAAGTTAGTGTGTCTCGTTACCATGCATGTTGACTATTAATGGCTCTCTGCACTTAGTTAAATCATAAGACTTTTCTCGAAGATAGTTCTCTAGCATCAGTCATCTGCCTGCATTACAGTGATTAGATTCAGGCCATCCAGATATACCCACAGTCTGCTCATGCCTGGGTGATACAACCAAAATATCTTCACGTAACGAGTGCTCTGGCTAAATTCTTGGCACTATCACCTTCCAGAAGGTTATATGTGGCAGTTTTTTCCAAGTGTGATTAGCGTACATCATTCCAGACATACTCCCTTTTTAAAGGTATTGCTTTTGGGAATGACATTAGGAAACAATGGAGATGCCATAAGTAGCTCAACCTGCTGTTTGATGTTTCTGTATTGATTTGACTTAATTGTTACTTTCCTTTTTCCTACCCCCTGATTTAAGGAGTTGGGTTTTTTTCATAACTACTGCTAATTAGTTCTCTCTCACACATTCTCTAATGTATAGATGTCAATTAAGTCTCATCAACCTACAGTTTTCTTGAGTTGAGATATTATATTCTAATTGTAGAACACCACTCATCTTAAACATTGAGTTGTTACCTGTGTGTGTGGGGAGGGCGGAGCCTTCTTACACACACACACACCAGTAAATATATTAACACAATTTTTTACCCAGCAATAGAAGCTGGAAAAGTATTAATCAAATAGTTTATTCAAAAAGTATTGCACAATGTATTAAACACACTGTTTGACAATTGATCTTTAATAAAGTTTAAGTTAATTATTCAGTTAATAGCTTTTGGGGATTTTTAGCAAAACAAGAGCCCAGATTTATATCGTGGGTTTAAAAAAGGTAATCACCGATTTTGTCTTAATTTATTTTTGTTTAATATTTGTTATTCATTACAGATTTTTTTTTCATCCCTTATGATTATTTTCTAGGAACTGGGCCTTGTCATTACCGGGACTCTGCCTGTCTTTAATCGAACAGTAGACCAACAAGGGAACAAGGTAAGCTATTACTTAAAGCTGAAAAGTAAGTTTCAGTTACATTAATAAAACTTGATGTAGCAGTCCTTGTGGAAATAGATATTTCTATAAAGAGCTATCTACAGTATGCCTGTTTTGTACAATCAGAAACAAATGGTCATATCGAGTTATCTGATAACCACCTGGGAACAAGGAAATGCAAATCACATTGCTTGTTCTGAGTTTCAACATATGATATTACTTGATCTGTCTGCGTGACCTGGTGGTAATGAGAATGCATTTGGGGATGAATAATTACATGGGAAATAGGTGATAATAATTCATAGGTCTTTCCAAAAGAGAAGCCTAGAGACATTTATAAAATCTATAGAAGTTATGAAATTTCACGATAATAGGCAATAATTATAATGATACTTGGACTTCAAATGAACAGCCAGTTTTCTAGGGCATTGCCAGCAAAATTGAGTGAGGAAGAGGAATATCTGTTTTTTCCCTTCCATTACATGATGAAAATGATTCTGTCTTACTTTATAGAGTGCTTCCTGCTTTTCTCAGCGATAACACATTAGATTGTGTGTAATAAATTATATACAAAACAAAACAACCGTATTTACACTGCAGAATGAAGCATCCAAATTTGTCTGTATACATATACATATCCCTCTTTCACCTTTGTATATCTTTACCTGTCTGTTATGTAGACTATAAGTTCCTCAGGGTATAGACCTGTTTTATATGTATTTTTGTGAAGTGTGTAGCAGAACTGTAGGAGACCTAATTTAAACATTAACATATCGAAAGAGAGATTAGATTTTAATTTACACACATTTGATAGATAGATGGATAGATTGACATCTAATTATTAGATAGGCATAATTCTATTATTTGGCCCTGTATAGTGTTGAAACCATGTATGTTTTTTGCTGCATCCTGACACTGCTTTGTTTTTTTCTGAATCACGCCTAGAGTATATTCTGAAGTTGAAAATAAAAATTCTATATATTTGACATAGTCTCAGTGTTAATCTGGGCTACTTAAACTGTCATCATGTACATTTTATTCAGAGTTGGAAATGAGAAAGCATTTCCATTTTCCATTTATCCATTTGTGGATTGAAGTATGCAAAAGCTTATTTTAGCCAAAATACTTTTTTTATTTAAATTTATCAGAGACCATATAGGCCCAGGAAAAAAAAGTATTAGATCCATAATGTTTCTCAAACTAGTTTATGATAAGCTCCTTAACCTCTCCTATTCAGGGTCAAGTTCTTATACTCTTAGTCATGGAATAGTGCCGTACCTCACACTGATCCCATTGAATTCACTGGGTCTGCTTGTAAAGTAAGGTGCTAGACACTCATTAAAGGTTCCTGAACTCAGTGGGGTTCTTTGGGGAAATTAAAACTCTATTACGTTTCCTAGGTAGTCTCTGCCGCCTTCCCCAATATGTATTCCAAACCCCTGGAGTGCCCTCCATGACATCCATGGGAATTGGAATGGGTGGAAATGATATTATGGAGATACATGACTCCTTTTTCCAGATGGGAGAGGGGAGAGCTCTTGTGTTCCCTGACTCTATGGTACACAGTACATACAGGCTTTGATGTTACTATGCTAAATACAAGTATCAGAGGGGTAGCCGTGTTAGTCTGAATCTGTAAAAAGCAACAAAGGGTCCTGTGGCACCTTTAAGACTAACAGAAGTATTGGGAGCATAAGCTTTCGTGGGTAAGAACCTTACTTCTTGTCTTGCATCTGAAGAAGTGAGGTTCTTACCCACGAAAGCTTATGCTCCCAATACTTCTGTTAGTCTTAAAGATGCCACAGGACCCTCTCTTGCTTTATGCTAAATACAGTGGCCTTTGTGTATGTACTGAGGTGGTCGGTCTCTTCTCTCTCTTACAGGTAGGTTTCAGGCTTGGCTTAGCT